TGTTTACTCCCCCACTCGTCGAGATAGGAACTTGAAACTTGGCACAGATTAGTCTTTTTTGATAACCTATCGAATACATCATCGCGAATCGAAATCGGTCTAAGGGCACTTTTGACCCCCAAACCCGGCTATACCCTTTTCTTAAACATTTATGTACTTCTGGTATAATTACCATAGTTTTTGTGTAAAATCTTTGAATGCTACTTCATAACATACACTTTTGTTTAAATCTGTGCAATCGATAGAAGGAACTTAAACAAAAACAAGATATATACTAAATTTATTTAAATGGAACTTTATATTTTTTCATTCATAATAAGATAAATAATATATATATAATAAGATAAATATATATATATATATTTAGTATATTTTTTTTTAATGTTTTTGTCATCTTCCCCATTGTTAAATTATTATTATTATTATTATTATTATTATTATTATTATTATTGTAAATAATGTTGCAAAACTAGAACTGAAAAAACAACCAAGCAAATGACAATGCTCTGGAAAATTAAAATGTATTGAATAAGTAACAATATTGTGGCGTCAAAGTACAATCGTACAAAATTAACATTCGTGTAGACTCTTCTCTTCCCAACTTCTTTCCCTATTCACGACATCTGGTCTATTCTTTCAGTATCTTGTTTAGCATTGGTCTATTCTTTCAGTATCTTGTTTAGCACTGGTCTATTCTTTCAGTATCTTGTTTAGCACTGGTCTATTCGGTTCTAGTTTGTCTCCAAACATATTTGCCAACCAGATGCGGATGGGCCTCAACTCTCTTATCTCCCCCATTCATTTTCTCTTAACTTTCCGCTAAATTTTCCCTCGTCACTAAGTCTACGTCTATCCTACTCTATCTATCCCTCTATCTTCATGTCCACCGAACAACACATGCGTTAATGAATAAATTATTTACTCTGTCAATACAAATGTAAAGACCACATGCGTAAAAATTGATACATTATGGTTTTTGTGTATGCTTGTGTATGTCGTATGTATGCTTCTACAAGCAGAAACTTTGAACTGACCTATCATATCAGGTATAAAAGATAATCTTCTGAAATTTTTAGCCTCCGGTACAGATAGAGAAGCCATGAGGGTTACATAATGATGAACACTCAAACGGTTGTACCACTGTTTGATTCGCCTCATTTTTTAAAATGCTTACGAAGGATCTTGTTTATTCCATAGACGTAAATAAAATTGCAAAATGGTCCCATATCCATACCCTTTCAAATGTTTGAGGAAGTTGACGTAAGAACATGTAGTTCCAAGCAAAATTAAAAAAATTAGCGTAAGCCATTGTGCAAGGCCTTTTCAAAGTCGTTGTCCAGTACCATGTATCTTATGAACGTTTTCGAGTCACAAAGCGCATGTAAAAGTTTGAAGCTAACAACTACTGCAAAAGATACCGCTGTTTTTATCGGAAATTAATTATTTATTTAATACAGTAAATAATAGGACCATTTCGGATCGAAAAAATAATATTCCAATTTGGAATAAATTTATTAAATTATTTAATAGTATGCACTTTATCAAACGCATAGCAGGAGATTTAGTAAATCGGGTATGTACCCTCGAAGGTTTCAAAATTTGAATGAACTATTTAGAGGGCCTTCATCTTAATGGAATTATTTAATAGTATGCACTTTATCAAACGCATAGCAGGAGATTTAGTAAATTGAGTATGTACCCTCGAAGGTATTTAGAGGACCTTCATCTTAATGGATTCCGTGAAAGGGATTTTAACCAAGATCCTTTGGAAAATTTTTTTTGTGACGTTCGCATATCAATGATCCAAACCATGGATATATTTTTTCCTTATAATGAGCCGAAGATAGATTTAGTATTTGTATATTCGAACGTCACCCTATACCTTAGACTGAGATGCGTTTAGTAATATCACCTATATGCGAACCGAACACCGAACCGAAAGAGGTGTAGCGTGCGAGCGTTGTGTTGTTTCTTTGTAACAAACTTCGAGGTACGACGTTCCGTTCTTTGTAAATTGATTGTAAACAAATGTCATGATTACGATTTCGGGAAAGGCTGACAGGTGTTTGCTCCATTTTTTAGTTTGACGGAGAAACGAGAAAGAAGCGTGTCAGTTTCTAATGTGAATATAATAACGTGGAAGGTACCATATTCTGTTTTGTAATTAACAAGCCAAGTGATTTATCGAGAAAGTTTTGCGATAATTTTTTTCCTTTTCAATAATCTTTCTTCACCTTTCCATCACTTTTTTCTCCTCTTCATATAAAACCCTTTATTAATCGAGAACGAAACAAATCTGGAACGACGATTTGTAAAGAACATAAGATTGTTTATTGGATATCAAGTTTTACAAATATTATCACACACTTGTTATGAATGTTTCATTGGAGATGGCTGCCTTATGCGTATCGTACAAATATAATAATTATATTTTATAATGGCTGTGTATATTTATATATGTCTATAAATACTTAATTATCTTATAAAGTGGCGGTGTTCTATTTACATACTTCAGTGGCCTGTAGCTTTTTTTTTTAGTCTTGATTATCGTCGAACTTTGATATTAACCCTAACAAATTCACAAATCGTCGAATAAAGAAAAGAACGATGACAGACGATGAGAAAAATGGTATTAGAATAGTAATGAGAAAATGGTATGAGAATGACGACAATGACGGTAATGACGATGATGATTGCAATGATTTCGATAGAAATGATGAAAAGCAACCAGCATCTACATCTCGTTAACATTCGTTTATCCTTAATATTCCGTGCGTACATAAAAATCAATAAATAATAATGATATACATAAATATATACTATATATACTATTTATATATAACTATCCTACTATACTTTTGTGGTAAAATATTTCCGCGAGACCGTCTCGTAGGCCCGTTTCTTTTAATTACAAAGAGCTAATCACCCTTTGAACAGCGCGATAGTTACAAATCTGATGGATATATTACATATGTATATTTATACTTAATGTACAAGCTGTTCTTTCCTTTATCGGTATAGCTCACGCATACTCCCGTATTTTCGTTAGTGCCAATCATAAAAGTTTATAAAATACTTCAGACTTTGAAGTGAGTAAAAAATATTCGAAACTACTTAGAATATTTTCGTATCGTCGTTAAGCATACAGCCGCTTTGCTTATAAATCCATGTATTTAAACAAAATGTGATCGAAGAATGAACGTTATTCTCGTTATAGTTGAATATACGTGTACGAATGATTTAATACTACTCGCGTTACCTTAAGTGAGCTAAGCCGACGACAAAAGAACTTGTTCGCTTTCGTGTTGCTCCAAATGGGTGGTATTTCCCGTGTAGCAGAAAATATTCGAGTAATATGCAATACTCTAGACGTTGAGTGGACAATTCCTGTACGAGTATCACATATTGCTTTGTACTGTATCCGTGTTAGATTTTTTGCCACAACGGAAACTGTCGTTGGTTCGTTGTCCTTTAATAGAACTTTTGTACAATATATTCAACGTTAGGAAAATACGAAAGTGCTTAAAAAGATGGTATAGTACGGAATACTACAAGCGCCGTTGCTCTCGATCGCGTTTCTCGTTATATTACGCATTAATTGTTTAATTATCCTGCATTTCGGAGTCTCCCTTTCATTAATACTAAAGAGACCGTTATCGCAGTAAAACGTGTACAAAATTTATACGTAGCAAATTCCTAGCAGTGGAAGGATGTATATTTATATCTCGACGGATATGGTAAAAAGTTGTTACTTAATTTCACTGTAAATACGCGTATCAATCTGATAATCGAGTGATAGAAAAATTCGATCCATTGCTCTTTGCAAAATACGTCCAGTCGTTTGCGAGTGTCTTTAAACGAAACAACGTATATACCTTACAAGTAACAATTTGTAAATATCAGTTAAAAAATATTTCGTATAAAAAATGACTCTTGAATTGAATTTATTCTAATAATTAGACCGCTACGTACGTAGGCTTAACCGGGCGTTTAAAACGTAATTGTTAAGATAAATTAACTATCGAAACAGTAAATACATATTATTACTCGACGAGAAAATTACTATCGTCCTTTTTGCAAAGATCGAATCGCGGTTTCTTTCGTAATGCTGTACAGCTTATCGTAATATCCACACTCGATGTTCACGTTTAATTTTAAAATAATGTTTCTTGATGAGATCGTAATACTACATTGTTGGTTTAAGAGTATAGACGTATATTTTCCCGTAAATCAACGGAATTCCTTAGCAAGCTGCCGAAGCCACTGAGTATAGGGCAATTTAATACATACATTTTAAGGCCGTTACACAGCGTTCAAAAAATATTAAGGTCTTGACAACGTGGCGAATTTCAGCCTGATAAATAAAATTCATAGAATCACAGGCAACTCGTTCGGTACAATTTACAAATGTCCGGTTGTAGTGGATAAAACTCCTTAACGATCTGTTGCCTTTTAAATTGATTAATACTAATTAACTAGCTTGAAAGTACTGAACTGTACAAAGCCTGTTATCAAAATTGTTATAAAAAAAAATTATGACATAAAAAAATAGAAAGAATATTTCTACTTCTCACGTTACACACTGAACCATAAATTGTTCGATTAAGAGACTCACGTAATCTCGCCATCCCTAGCGTAAGTATGGCAGTTGATAGTATCGATATAGAAAATGTACTCTTACGAGTATAGATTATATAATCATGGCAGAACACGTGAGTTTTTGGATATAGTACGAATCGTTTGGGCAAGATCGTCATTTTCACCGAAGCATACAAAAGGCAATCATTATGGTTACCAATCATTTTTAAGACTTGAGAAACGTTAAAACCGTTTCTCTTCGTTACGAATCCATGAAATCGTTAATTTAAAACATATTCTAATTTGCCAAAATGGATCCTAGATAAGATTCCAACTTATTGGTATCCTTTCGGTTTGATCGACTTTGCACACGCTGTGTGCAATCGCACTTAAGAATACACTATCAAACGCTCGTAGCGTATTTTAACACTTTCCAGATGTATGACCACCACGAACTTGCAGAATGCAAGGTTACTATAAAAATGTGGCAGTGTCAAATTACATTGGCAAGTATACTTTGTGTTTCGCCGTAAAAAAAAAAGGCAACGTTAGTACCGGAGGAAAAAGCAAATTGACTAGGAAACACTCGATCTAGTCCAATGACACTGGGATGATAATTTTCAGGCAAACTGTTTAGGATGTTCGATTTTAACGCCGTTCATCGGCTCCTCGAATATCCATTGCCAATTGCATTGTATTTCCGTACGCCTAAACATGATCTTTTCGAAGAGTTTCATCGTGTAATGTCATCGTCATACCTGTCTCTCAGATACTAACATTGAGAATGTATCATTGCAGTCTATCGAATTGAGATGGCACAAGGTTTAGGAACCCCTTCTAACACTCAAACTCAGACGCTGTTATGGCATTTAAATCTTTCATGAGACCCTCTAAATTAGCCATCTCTTGATTCAGTTCTTCAGTACTGTAAGAAGGCTATAAAAAACAATGAAACTAATGAAAAACCTTACCTTGCATAAACTACTAGTAAGAAAAATTTACATTAATTTATATAATAATATTTGATTCATTTGGACTTTTGTAATACAGGACTAAAAGATATTCTTCCCAGATTTACATCGTTCAAACGTAGAATTTAAATAAAATGACCGTTACCTTTAACCGTTCAACTTCTTCCGATGTGTGTACCGGATTCGAAACCGAAGCTAATCGATTCTTTGCTAATTGCGTAGAACTTTGTGGCTTCTTATACGGACTGCCAGACATCGTGGGTCTTACGGTAACTTGAGAAACTGTTAAAATAAAAAGAACGTCGCAATACATCTATGATGATACTAACAGGTGTGTTACCGAATATTTTGATGATATTATAGAGAAACTCGAGTTTGAAACCTCTTGACAAAATTAAAGTTATAGACTTTTATGCTAATTATATTATGTTATAATGTTATTATGTTACTGTGCTAATATGTAACAATGAACAACGGAATTGTGACAACCCTGTAATGTCTCATTTTTTTTTTGTATAATAATGGGTTTGTCCGTTTATAAATAAATAAAACGAAATATTGTAGAGAATATCATAATTCCATCTTTAGATTGGTTACTCCAAGTATCAACAAAATCTCCAGCTACACAGCCGTAACATTCTTCTCTAATGAGATAAAAATGATTAAAATAAAACTAAACCAACCACCATGTTTTTGTTGAGCCGGTGTCGAAGGCGCAGATTGAGGTGGAGGTGCTGGCACGCTAAAACTTTTCAAAGGATGACCCTGCAACCTTTTACTGCTGCCACTACCGTCTGTTCCTCCGCTACCACTCGCTGGTTGATTACTGTTACCATAATGACCCGGAGCGTATTGAGTACTCCCGGTATACGGCTGGCCGCTGGTGCCGTACGATAATTGCTTTAAACGGAAATTGTTCGCATAAATGTTGATTCTTTATGAAAAGGGAAATATCAGTATTCTCATAGAAATCTTACTTGGCTCTGCAACGGCTCGTAAGAACTCGAGATGTTACAAGAATCTGGACTTGATTCGGGTGTTGGCTCCAACGTAATGTGAGCTCGACTTAAGCTATACTGTGCCACTGTTCGTGGATAATTTTGTCTCACGGATGGCGTGTCACTGCAGGAAGTATGTATCGTTGGCTGCGACATACTTGTATTCACGATCGGTGTTGCCGTTGCTATTGCTGTAACAGGTCAAGAAGTTTGTCACATAGTTTAAACATTTATATTTAATTTCTTCGAAGATAAGACATTTCAATAGTATTTGTAATCTGAACGGAATATATTTTATTTCATCAAATGTTTTCAGTTTTCAGTTTTCAGCACTGCGTATAGACTTTGGTACGTTTCATCTTTAAAGAAATTTTCTTAAGGGAGCAAGATTCATAATGAATTCTTGTTATTTATGATGTATGCTATAAAATGAAGTAATGTTTCGTTAATTTATCATAAAACAATTGACATCGCTACAAACACAAGAGATTAGGCCTCTCTTGCCACTTAACGGACGTGTGTACTATTACTTACGTTGATGTAAAGACGCACTGTCAACAGGAAGTGTAATGAGTTTAGGTTTGTGGCTTCCTCGACTATGCTGCCTGCTCAGGGTTGAGCACTTCTCGTCAGTGTTACCTAATATCGAGTGGACGAACAAAAACCGAACACGAAAATCAGGAAAACAGGAAACAAAATAAAATATTTCATTCAAGGTGACAAACGTTAACTAAAGTATTGATAATAAATTGGAAATCATTAAGCGTGTGTATTTAATTATGTTAGAAGTAATAATGAAAAAATACGTCGTGAGAAATTCAATTAGGCGAACAAAATACTGTGCAGCTGTGTCTAAATGTCAAGATATTTTTATATGTAGTATTATTTCGCAAAACTTACCCATATAACTTGGTACGTAAGTACGCTTATCCAATGAACTAGAGTTTCCGTGGACATTCTCTTGATTATAATCCTGATTACTTGGTCTAGGAAGCGTGTTACTAGCCACACCACTAGTAGACGCCTCTCCGTTTATCGAAGACTTCTCAAGAGCTTTAAGCTCCATCTGATCATGATGAATCCACAAATCTGGTGGCTTGATGTTTGTCTTTTGATTCACATCTTTCATGTAACTACACCGTTTCAAATGTGACAGCATATTCGTAAAACAAATGTTCTATACTAAAATTATAATCGTATACATACGCTGCCATTCAAAACTTTGAAATGCCTTTCGATCTTTATGAAAATAGACCCTTTTGCGGACATATACTGACTTTATTAAGAATATTTTTTCACATTAAATTAATTCAGTCAGACGAGTGAGATTCGTAGTTAAAACTGAATGTGTTAAAATACTCATTCTTAAAAAGTATGTTTTAATAAAATCGAAGGATGTTTCAAACTTTTCACTGGCAGTAGTATACATTATTACAACATCATACCTCTTTTTTCGATCAGGCGTGTCCGGATTTCGCTTACAGCACATCACTACCACTACAACTGCTACACCAGTAATGAGAACAATAGAGCAGCCCACAATAATATAAATTAGTATATTCGAGAGTCCTCGTCCATCTGCAAATTAAATTAATTGTTTAGTGATGTTTGAGCTGTCACTAAGTACAGAAAATGGTATAAAATTGCATCGTAATGGACTAATTCTAACATAGTATACATATTGCATTACATATATTCAAATTGCATATTCACATTACTTCAACATTCACTACTCTAAAATACATGCAATATGACTAATTATGATGCTAATATGACGAACAATAATCTAAAGGAGAATAAATCTTACCTCGATCATGTAATTCATCATAGACATCCATGCCATTGCCTAGCATGGAAATAAAAAATTAACACAATAATCAACACACCGATATTGTACATACGATATAAACAGAAATAATAGTTACTATAGATAATAACACTTTACACAATACTAAACAAACTGCTGAAACCAACAAATCATCGAATACGTGCATCTACGTTTACGTGTGAAATTGATATATTTACTTTGAGGTGTCTTGAATGGCACAGTTGTAGAAAATGGGCCATATCCTTTCGAATTGCGTGCTTGTATCTTGAAGTAATAAGTTGTACTCGGTTTAAGGCTCTTCACAATGAATTCAGTTTTATCGCCGATAACAGCTTCGATTAACCAGTCGCGATCCCACTTTGTATTATCGGTAGAATAAAAAATAATATATCCTAAAAGAAATTCATTTAATTTAATTCACTGTAAACTTCCCGTTTCTATTAAAAATGTTAAGAAATACCTGTAATTGGTCCATTAGGTTGTTTAGGGGGTTGCCATCGTAGTAAAACCGATACTGGACGGTCTTCGATACTTTGTATTATCAAATCCCTTGGCGCAGAACTCGGTGCAGCTTCTTGAGTCTGATTCGAAACAACCATACTCCATGGCGATTCTCGCTTCCCCTGAAACAATAATTGAAATGAAGATTCGTACATATCTATGAATATTATCATATATGATAATAAATTATAAATACCTTAACAAGTTTTACTGCAAATTCATACAGCGTGTTCGGTTTCAAATCATGTATCATGCAATTAAGATCAGTGGCATTATGATATTTATAGCGTGGGCTGCTGCTATGATGATGCGTGTAACGCACCACGTAATATCTATCATCCGTTACGACCTGAAAAATGATTATTCATTAATAAAATTGATTGGTTTAGATCTAGGTACTTGTAAAACTGATATGTATTCGGTCAACGTACTTGAGATTTTGATAATGTTGTGTCAGTCCAATATAGTACTACTGTAGTATCCGAGAGAACGGCAGCTTTAAGACCAACCGGTGGTATCAAAGGCACAGAAGATTCAGACACAGAACGTTCGGTTGTTCTGACATTTGCATATGCAGGTTGACCGTCACCGGCATCATTCGTTGCTCTTAATGATATAACGTACTCTGTCATTGGTTCTGAAGTTAACACACAAACAGAAAACATACAATTCTTCATCTAATACGTTTTATATGTATCATATGAAATAATGTATGACACAGATATTCACCTAATTGCTCTATAGTGAAAGAACGTTCTTTCCCATCAATAAGTTGTATTTCAACATCAGGGACACCTTTTCCCCAACCAAGTTTATATCCTTTTACTTTAATACTTTGATCCTTTGGTGGGTTCCAATACACTTGTATGTAATCTGACATCACTTTTGCTGTAAAATGCGCGTTCAAAATGTGTTTAATATTATTGCAATATCAACGACGATTGTTTACTGTCGCCCCTTAAACTAACAAATAAACACACTAACTTCTTAAATTGCTGGGTGTATTTGGTACTCTTTTTTCATCCGACTCAGTTTCATACGTCTCGATCTGTATCCATTCTGTCCAAGGTCCCGTTCCGTTCACATTTAAGGCACATATACGAACTTGGTAGCCAACATGTCTCTCAAGTCCTGTTAGCACTTTTGATCGTTGATTTCCTTCAGTCGTTATAGTGACCGGCTGTGAACTTCGATCTTGTCGACGATAACGGATTTTATAACCAGTGATAATTCCATTTTGACCTTCGAGTGGTGGTTCCCACCTTATTATAATACTCTATTGAAAACGAGAAAATTTTCAGTGATATTCTAGAATTTGGTGACAGTTGTATTAGGTTGTCCGGAAAGTTCGTGCCAATTTCTAAGGAAAATTCAAAAACACGTTTGAATTTTAATATATATTTATTGAATTATATTATATTGAATTGGTTGTTCCACAACCTTTCCACCTTTTAAGGGATGTATACATGTTATTTGTTTTCAACCACTTCGATATATTCAGACCTGTACCACCTACCAAAAATCGACATGGACTTTCCGGACAACCCAATATAAAATTATAAACACGATACGCACTGTAGGACTAGCTGGTTCTACTGTAACATTGTGTGGTGGTTGAGTAGGCTGTGCACTGTAAGTCCGCACTATAATATCTCTACTAAACGCGCCAGGGCCGTTCTCGTTTACAGCTTGAACTCTAATACTGTATTCTGTATAAGGCACGAGATCTACCAATTCGTGCATGGTACTAATGGTTTCACGCGTTACTTCCTCATTGTCACCCTTTAAATAAAATAATAAAATTCTCATTTTTGAAAACAGTGTCTCATTTATAACGTAGTAATTATTTATAGCTAAATGTAAATGCTGTATACCTCTACAAATGTGATTATGAATTTAGAAATTCTGCCATTAACAACTTGTGGCTTCTCCCAAGATAAAGCAATGCTCACGCTGCTTGTCGCATAGCCTTCCAAGTTCAGTGGAGGTCCGGGAACATTGGCCTGTTATAATAGATTAGTAGAATCTCAGTTAGGAAGAAACTCAATCGACCGTTTGCTAGTCATTTTTAGAATTCTGAACAGACCTCTGTAAGTGTAGTGACTTGTAATACATCGCTCGACATTCCAGGACCTCTCGCATTTAAAGCAACCACTCGAAATTCATACGTCGTGCTGGGTTGTAACCCCGATATCATTGCTTCTAATTTTAGTTGCGAATGTATTCTTTCTCTGTAAGATTTTTTATTATTACGAACGAAACATTTTTGGGAACAAGTTACTAGCAGGTTTATCGAAAGACGATCATCACCTTTGAGCACCTTCTTGTTTGTAATAAATATAGTAATTTAGAATATCTCCGTTTGTGCTTTCTGGTTCTTGCCACCGTAAAGTTACAAATCTGGCGGTGACAATGACGAGGCTTAGACTCCTTGGAGCTGACGGGACGCTTCCTTCTTTCGACTCCAGGCTGTATGTGTCGCCTACAAAAGGGGATTTCGGGTCGTAAAAGGAATTGGGAAATCTAACAGACCCAGGAAGATCCGCGGGATCGTCGGAGGGACTAATGGAAAGCGGTGGATTGGGTGTGAACGCAGATAGCGTGTGGCCCAAAAGAGTGCTCGGATGTTGCCACGTTTTATTGTACAATTGACGATGCAACAGTAATTTTTTTTTGGGAGCTGTCTTTGGAGTAGTTGTCCTATGGGAATTTGCCTTTCCTGGATACATTTGTTAGCATGCAACACAGTTAACGAGGAGGAAACGCATATGGAAAAAAAGAAATAAAGATAAAATTAAAATTTCTAAGAAAAACAAAAGTAAGAAATTATGCATATTTGATAATGTGTATAAATTAAACGAGAAAACTATAAATTAATAAACTGATACGTATGTATGGAAAACTGTCGCTACGTCGAATTTAAATGTCCAAAAATATACAGTGGGTGTAGAATGTATTCGTACACCGATCAATTTCCCAAGAAACTTTTGTTTGCAATTGTAGATACTTAACTTGTCTTTTTTTTATAATCAATGATATTTTACATATTCTCGGAAGTCTCTAAGATAGATATAGTCCAAACAACATTTACTAGTTAATATAATTTGTGAAATTAACAAAAAAATGCGAAAAGTGGGTAAAAGTATAAAAGTAATAAGTATTTCTACGATTCTTATGACGAACCATTTACAGTAGAGTTTGTAAGAACACATTAGTTTATTGCTCCGTACGAATTAGAAAACATCAAATTTCCAGTAAAGTATTGTACTTTTAAAAAATGGCTCTAATAGAGAAATTGAAGAAGATCCCACTTCGAATAACTAACAATTTAGTTAATTTAATCTTTAGAAAAGTTACAATAATTATAAAATCAAAAGGAAATCCCATGAAGGAAGTATTATATACTTGTAAATTAATTGTAAATTTCTTTTTTTTTAATGAAGTTTTAAAAATTAAACAGTAAATCGATTAATTGTTTTTTTCTTGTTAATTTCGCAACTTACATAAATAGCTATTTTTTTTTAATCTATCTATTCTAGAGATATCCGAGAATATGTAGAATGTCATTGTTTATAAAAAATAAGTTAATAAATTACAATTTTACATAGTTTTTTTGGAAATTGATCGATGTACGAATACTTTCTACACCCACTGTATGCGTGAAAAGTTTCATACAGATGTCTTAAACTATAAAACAAATACTCACTAGGTTGATTAATTGTTAGACGTGCTGCAGCTTGTATACTTCCGGCAGAATTTGTTCCGATACATTGAAAAATTCCAGCATCTATAGCTAGTAGGCCGTTAATTCTAAGGTAACTACTGGAAGTAATTGCACGAAGAAAAATTTACCTGGTGATATTGTTCATTTTTGGTTCATCATAACGAATTACGGATTAAAGACTTACCCATTTATGATTTGCCAGTATTCACTGAAAGTGATACGCTCTCCATTTTTGAGCCAGGTAATTTTTGGCTCTGGCTTCCCATAGATTTCGCATTCAAATTCTAAATCTTGATGCTCGCTAGCTACCTTATCTTCTGGCATTTTTATAAATCTTGGTGGGACTAAACGTGAAACGAAAGTACGTTAGTATTCGAAGACAAAAGATAAAAAAATAAAATAATCACTGTGTGCAATGTCAAAATCAAATACCTTGTACAATTAAATCAGCGGCTGCATCCAATGTTTCGACTTCGTTTTCCGCACGACATTGATATGAACCGTCATCTATTTCTCGTACATTACTAATTACAAGACTGGATGCAGCAACTTGACGGTACCTAGATAATAAATGCGACTTGTATAAAGATTAAAATTTTAGTTTCATTATCTCTATTTTAAGTATTCCTATTTCCTCGTTACGTAAATAAATTCTAATTGCACACCTAGAATCGAGAGATGCAAAATCAATCGCAACACCATCTTTCAACCAAAGTATACTTGGCTTTGGATAACCATTAGCAGCACACTCGAGGGTTACCGTGGATCCTTCGATAACTTCTTGTTGCAACGGTTTAGCAATGAAGACTGGTGGTGTGCTTTCTTGATCTATAATACAAAGTTAAGGAATTAAGGTAGCGTTACATTGTATTAACTATACTACTCATGTATTTTATGAATTTGATAAATATGCTGAGTGAAAATGAGTGAAAAATAAGGTCAATTGAAATCAACGAAAGCAACTTAATCCTGAATTAATTAAAATAATTGCAACAAAAATATTTTGTCTATAAAGCTTGTGCAGAAATTGTTTCTATTCTTTACAGGACTACCTTTCATATAGTTTCGTAACTTCTGGATAAAGTTTTTTTTCTTTCATCGACAATGCATCTTATGTTATAACAACTTTTAAGAATCATACTAACCAATATCGCTTGTCAATAATCCTAATTGTGCTTTATTACTGAGTCTATATTGTCCATAACTACTAGCGTTACATCTGTACGATCCAATATCTTGTATGTTAACGTCATCAATCTCCAATGCACCTATTCAGCATTGAAGAGAATCGTTAGTATCTTTTGCATGAATATAGTGAAACTTTTGCTGCAGCTGCATTAGCTCAGATAATATATACCTGATGGTAAAACTGTCATTCGGCTACCATCGAGCACTAGTGGATGTTCGTCTTTTAACCACTGTATACTTAACGAGCTAGAGGATGAAGGGAGCATGCAACTTAAATATGCAATTTGCCCTGGATAAACCATTGTGTCTTGAGGTTCCTTTTCGAATCCTGGTAAACCTTTAAAATAAAATTGTTTATATAATTCTAGTCTTTTAACACTTTTTTTATGTATACAGTGGACGAAATTTGTATAGGGATACTGCTGTATTTAATAGAAGAAACTAAGTATATTTTAATAAAATTTCAAAAGCATAAAGATTATATGAAGAAATGGTTCAAATTAAGAAATCAATATTAGAAACCAAAAAGACCGTTTTATTTTATTATAAACAAAATATAGTATTAAAACATACAGAATAATTGCGAAATTTGTATACGAACAGTGTACTAATATATTATTAAAAGCATGATAATTATTAATAACTGGTACTTTTACCATTACGCCTAATGACTTGAAATACCCTGTTTTGCATACTCCAAATTAGGTATTGCAATGTAATAACATAAATTTAGTTCCATTCTTGCTTTATAATGTTTTTTAGCTCTTTGATGTTATTATATTGCTTATTATTTTTGTATACCGCTATTTCTTGCATTGTGGACAGGTGCATTATCTTATTAAAATATTACATTGTCATTATAATTTGCTTCGGCAATGGAATTAGACGATCTTCCAACAAATCAATGTATGTATTTTTCTGCGTTTATTTTATTGTAATTTCGCTATTTTTCTGTATGTTTTAATAGTATATTTTGTTTAGAATCAAATAAAACAGCCTTTTGGTTTCTAATATTGGTTTCTTAATTTATACCATTTCTTCATATAATTTCTAAGGTTTTGAAATTTTATTAAAATATACTTAGTTTCTTCTATTAAATGAAGCAGTGTCCCTATACAAATTTCGTCCACTAAATATCAAATACAATATATAGTATGATAATTCTAAAGAAGACTAAGTAATAATGCTGAGTACTAACTTGCAAGTTTAATTGTAGCTGGTCGAGAAACAATTGCCCCAACTTTATCTATGGAAGCTAAACACTGATAGCTTCCAGTCAATTCTGGACTACTACTGTAAACGCTATTAATATATAAGGTTCCATTTGCTAGCTGAGATCTGCAAGCAAGAAAGAAAGAATATAGAAACTGAATGTTTCAATGGTAAAGCGACATTTTGAAATTCGATAATCTTACCGATAACTGTCCCCAATAAAATTAATTGGTTGACCATCGTCGGTTCGCCACTGTATAATTGGTTCCCCAAAACTACTTTTTGCTTCGCAATCCAATCTCGCTGGACCTCCTTGCTCGACGACTACATCGCGCGGCTCGATAGTGAAGAACAAACCACCTGCACTAGCTGTGAAGAGCAAAAATTAAAGTATAATTGAAAAGAGCAAATTTGTTTTTCATTGCGAAGAAACATCAGCTTGTAAGTACAGTGGGTGTAGAATGTATTCGTACACCGATCAATTTCCCAACAAACTTTTGTGTGAAATTGTACTTTCTTAACTTCTTTTTTTTATAATCAATGATGTTTTACATATTCTCGGAAGTCTATAAGATAAATATAGTCCAAACAACATTTACTAGTTAATATAATTTATGAAATTAACAAAACAATGCGAAAGGTGGGTAAAAGTATAGAATCTAGCGATAACTATTTGTACGATTCTTATGACGTACAAAATTATCTTATGATCATTTACAGTAGAGTTTGTTACGTAAACACATTAGTTTATTGCTCCGTACGAACTAGAAAACGTCAAATTTTCAGTAAAGTACTTTTAAAAAAGGTTCTAATAGAGAATAACTAATAATTTAGTTAATTTAATGCTTCGAAAAGTTACAATAATTATAAAATCAAAAGGAAATCCCACGAAGGAAGTATTATACATATACTTATAAATTAATGTAAATTTCTTTTATTTTTTAATCAAGTTTTAAGAATTGAACAGTTGTGCGAATAATTATTGCTTCAACATTTCTATCGATTAATTGTTTTTTTCTTGTTAATTTCGCAACTTACATAAATAGCTATTTTTTTTTTTAATCTATCTATTCTAGAGATATCCGAGAATATGTAGATTGTCATTGTTTATAGAAAATAAGTTAATAAATTACAATTTTACATAGTTTTTTGGGAAATTGATCGGTGTACGAATACTTTCTACACCCACTGTATATGTTTGCTGAAGTCCATGATTAAGAAAAAAGACCTGTTAAAGACAAGGTAATTGAGTAGATATCTAGTTTGCTAGCTATCATGAGGGTAAATTCGATAGGGGTCATGGTACTATCAAATTTCAATTGCATTTCGCAAGTTTCTCAACACGTGCGTAAGCGTCTAAGTATTACGACGATAGAACGTGAAAACTGGACGGTTTATCTAGGGGATGGAAGAAGATGTGCAAGTGCGCAGTAGTAGTTTGGGAAAAGAGAAGGGATAAAGGTCGGCAACCCTACAGAAGCACCCTTTGGCCCTTTGCTGAGACACCCGAGCCGAGTGCCTAAATACTCTTTTTCGTCCTTTCTTTTCCATCTTCTTTTTTTTCCTTTTTCGAGGCTTTGCGATCGTTCGATGCGACGTATGTACAATATACATACACAACCGCAATGCAGGACGATTCAACGTCATTTCTGAATAGCCCTTCGCATCGTGAGAACAAAGGATATAAAAGAATCTCGACGGAACAATTTTATGAAGCTCTGATCCGAATGATTTTCTACAGACCGCAAACCTTTTTCCTTTGAATACTACGCTGTCGATACACCGTGGAATATTCCCTTCGCCGAAGGAACAGTGGCAAACAAAGAATTTTCAAATGGCATATTTTGCTTGTTGTCGAGTTATGCAGGTATACAGTTTGCCCTGTTTTAACTTGGACACCTTGATAACTCGAAAACATAGGATTTTAGCAAAAAATGTTTCAAATAAAAGTTTTATGGTTCCAAAGGGAGACAGAAGATGGAGTTATCAATTCGATTATGAATGGCGCCATTTACGATATTTTTTTATGACGACTATTTTTTTTTAAACAGAAACCGAATAATAATAATTTATTTATTTAATGTCGCATCAGAATTTATGCTATTAGCGACCACTGTGAATTACATTTTCTTTACATACTATAAATTACATATGTTAGTCATAAATAATTTACATAGATAATAACTTATACTTAGATAACAAATTTCTTACATCTAATAATAAAAAAAATATATAGTTAATAATTTAACTGTAGTGTCCAGTCTATATGTGGCCTATATTTCTTCTGCTAATCTTGTCCTTTGTAAATATGATACGATTTTTAGTATGCAACTCTTGTCGTTTAAACTGTTCTTCAGGGTGTTTGGTTGGCTTCCTGTTTCGCGTATATTATCGTACAATGGACATTCTTCTAGCATATGTTTAACTGTGATTTTTGTATTGCAGTTTGTGTAGTATGGGGGGTTTTCTTTTGTAATTAGGTGTTAGTCTTGTGTGACCTATTCTTAATCGGATTATTAGAATTTGTTCTATTCTTGGCAGAGAAACAGCAGGATTTCTTGAAAATGTTTTCTCTTGACTCGTGAAGATCAGTATGTTTAGTCATTAACCACTCTTGGTTCCATTTTTCTAAGATTCTTTTTGTTATATCAATCTGTGCATCTTCCTTTGGTATTCCAATATTACTGAGGTCTATATTTAGTGGTCTCTCAGTTTCTTATGGAAACCGAGTTTCTTGCTCTAACGAAAATTGTAGCTGGCATTGGGAGGAACACAACGGTTTTTGTTTTGTTCCTTTCATTCGGATCAGTTTTGATCGAGTTATAGCGCTAATGTTTGTTATTTTCCAAATTCAGTTTGTGCGTGCGTGTACGTGTGTAACAGTGATAAGGATCCTCTTTGTTGCGTGTGAATGACACATACACACAAATTGAATTTGGAAAATGACAAACTTTAAAGCGTTGTAACTCGGTCAAAAGGATCCGAATAAAAAAAAAAAAAAAGAAAAATCGTTGTACTCGTCTCAATACCAGTTACAATTTTCACGAAGACAAAAAAATCGACAACGATTTTAAAAAATGGCCGTCATGAATGGATAACTCTACCTTTTGTCACCCTCAGAACCATAAAACTTTTGTCGGACACATTTTTTGTTAAAACCTCATGTATTCGAGTTATTACGGTGTTCAAGTTAAAATGGGACATCCTGTATATATTGAGCGTTATGTGATAATAAATAATATTGCTGGAAAACTAGTATCTCGAAAAACACAAGTTGGAACTGACAGAAAAATACACTGCTCATCTGGGACAAATAGATTAAAACTCGCTATATGTAATATTAGAAATACTATCAGATCTTGATAAAGCAATTAGCGCCAGAATTATTCGACGCCGCTTAAATGAATTTGGCTTAATACGTTGGTCGCCGCATCACTCAGAAATAGGTGACAGAACTTTTCATTCAGGAACTAAATAAATTAATTCCAAAAGTGAGACAGTAATGAAAATAAATTTTGATTAGATTTGTTAATTAAATAGGTTAAAAAATGAAATACTATGACAAATGTTAAATTATCTAATCTTCAACAATCTCGAAACACAATTTTAACTTCGTAGAAAGTTGCATTTCAACAAAATTGTATTAACGAGCTATTATTGTACATGCGAAGGAAAAACAATTTTTATTTTATATAACAAATAATTCTGGGATATCAATGTATTTTAACACGTAATAGTAGACATGTTGAACTAATAAATAAACATTTTTATTATTATAATAATATATATAACTTGTCTTATAGAACTTTGTCGTTGTCTGTAGTATATACAGGGTGGTCCGCCGAAGTAAGGCCACCTATATATCACCTCTAATTGTGGGGGTACAACAAATATTCTGTATGCTATTTGAATGGTTTAAAAAAACCATTCTATTGCAAAAGATTTCTTTTTTCTAGGGTAATTTTTTTCGAAGTTTACAAGGTTATCGATGTTTTCTAGCGTAAAAATGTATAATTTTTTTTATCGCATCGTGTAGCTGATGTAAAAATACATTCGGATATGTACATTACATGACCTTGAAATGACCTTTGAGTTCAAAAATTAAATGAAAACTAAAAATTGTTGTCTGTCGAGACTTTACAGACGAAGACGTCGTTCGGGAATCTGTAAGAGTAAATAAACACGTTTACACTACGTATGACTTCTGACACCGCAGAAATCTGATCATTTTTAAACAGTTCGTCAGTTTATGGATATTATCCTTCGCGATGAGTTATTCAAAGCAAGAGAAAATTGATATGATTCTGATTTATGGTAAAAGTGATCAGTGTTTAAGGCAAGCTGTTCGATTGTAACGAGCGAAATTTCCTAAACGCAACTGTTCATCGCGTAGTACATATGGAAAGGTGGTCAAGCATTTTTTTGAAAGTGGGGTAGTGTCAATACGAAGAGGCATAGCGAACCAATAATGTTACAAATCAATTAAATACGAGATTTATTATGGAAAAAGTAGCCGAAAATCCGCATGTTAGTACACGACAATTGGACCGAGTAACTAATATTTCCAAAACAAGCATAATACGAATACTCCGTGAAAAAAAATTTCATCCGTATCATGTGTCTCTCCATCAGGATCAATTTTTCGTTTCCATTTAATTTTTGAACTCAAAGGTCATTTCAAGATCATGTAATGTACATATCTGAACGTATTTTCACATCAGCTACACGATGCGATTAAAAAAATTATACATTTATACGCTAGAAAACATCGATAACCTTGTAAACTTCGAAAAAAATTACCCTAGAAAAAAGAAATCTTTTGCAATAGTTTTTTCAAACCATTCAAATAGCGTACAAAATATTTGTTGTACCCCCGCAATTAGAGGAGATATTTAGGTGGCCTTACTTAGGTGGACCACCATGTATATTTTGCTTTATTAATTGTTAATTTTAGCTCTTATGTCTTTAAATAATGCTTATAATTAATATTATTCCTATTCTATATCACGTTCGTAATTGTATTGTTCATTCGTGTAGATACAATGATTATTGTAGTGTTTATGTAAGTATGAAAGTTAGGTACTTCGTAACACCTGAAGGCATTTAACTGGGTGTAATCTAGAGATAGATTTTTAAATGTAAATGTAAATATCAAATTCGGTCGTGTGATAAATGACTTATAATTCATTTCTTTGTCAATTATTTCCATTTTTCATTATCTCCTGAACTATCCGACCAAATAACATACTATAAATGTCAAATTTTATCTTCGTGAAATCTCCCAGATGATAAAATGATTCTTTTTTTATAAAGATCAATATATTATACCTAATAAGTACCCTTAAAGTTCATCTTATAATTTTCAATTC